CTCAGCAAACCTCTTATTCAATTCCAAGTTGTTGGTAACCTGATTCTGAAGCAACTGCTGCACCATGGTCTTGAGCTCAGGATCGTGAGAGCTGGAGGAAGCATATGCTGGAGCTTGTGCACTGAATCCTAGAGGATTATAGGGCGCTCTTGGCTGGAAGTTGTTGTTTCTCTGCTGAAAACCTTGATTGTTGTAGGGAACAAAAGGTCTTGGAGCAGCTTGTTGTTGTTGTTGTGGTGGGTACACTTGATCTTGTGGATTTGCAACATTGTTGCTTCTGTATGACAAGTTGGGATTGGGTCTGTAGTTCCCATATACATTGTATCCACCTTGATTACCCAAGTAGTTCATCTCTTCCACTTGGCATGTCTCTTGATCATCAAGCTGAACCATGTCACCAATATAGTGAACTTCCTTCTTCTCCCTTAGCAGCATATCCAGCTTCTCATGTAAGGCCTTGACCTCTTTCCTGCTAGACTCCAGTTCATCTTTAGCACTTCTTGGAGCTCTGTCATATTCCTCATTATAGTTTCCATCTGACTGAGCTAGATTCTCAACAAGCTCCAATCCTTCATCCATATCTTTTGACAATAAGTTCCCATTTGATGCAGTGTCTAAAAGCATTCTTATCTTTGGCAAAGCTCCTCTGTAGAGAGTAGAGAGTAGAGAGTAGAGAGTAGAGAAGCATGTGAGAAGCCATGGTGAGGGCATTGCAGTGTGTAGCCTTTGAATCTTTCCTAAGATTCACCAAAGCTTTCATTGTTCCTCTGTGCAAATCCTGAAATCTCATTCCTTATTCTTGCAGTTCTTGAAGTTGAGAAGACCTTTGCTAAGAAGACTCTCTTGCACTCATCCCAACTAGTGATGCTTCCTTGGGGTAAGTTCTTCTCCCACTGGTGTGCTTTGTCTCCAAGAGAAAAAGGAAACAACCTCAGCTTGAAACCATCTTCACTTACTCCATTTATCTTTGTAAGGGAGCAAAGTCTGTCAAAATTATCTAAGTGATCTAGAGGGTCTTCAAGTGGAAAACCATGGAACTTACTGCCCTGAACCATTGAAATCAATCCTCACTTGATTTCAAAGTTGTTGTTTTGCACTGCTGGTGGAATGATGCCAATTCTGTTATTGTATGCATTTGGTGCATCACCAGCGCCTATGGGTCTTGCTGCTCTTGGAGCTTGTGCAGCGCCTCTTGGTCCCTGCTCACCTTGTATGCCCTGAACACCTTGATGACCTTGTATACCCTGAGCGCCAGCAGCTCCTTGAGGACCCTGGAATCTGATGTCATCCATAACAGGTTCCTGATTGTTCATCCCAAGTCTCTCACAATGCTGTGATCTTTCTCTCTGTCTTCTTGCTCTCAGCTCTCTTTCAAGTTGCAAGATGTTGTTCTGATAAGGTTACAAATTCTCAGTGCCTTTAGACCTTAACTGCATGCACCTGTAAGAGAGAGACCAAGAGTTGAAACAGAGTTAGTAACCAAATTCCCAAAAAAATACTTGATCTTAAAGATTCTACAAACTCTAATGATTCAAACAGACCCCCCCCCCCCCCCCCCCCCCCCCCCCCCCCCCCCCCCCCCCCCCCCCCCCCCCCCCCCCCCCCCCCCCCCCCCCCCCCCCCCCCCCCCCCCTCCCCGGCAATGGCGCCAAATTGATGTAGGTGTTATGCCTATCTCAATCCTCAACCTACATTAGTCATTGTAGTATTGAGTTTTATCAATCCATGGGGAGTTGTTGAATACAAAAGAGTTGCAAGCAGAAGTCCTTAAGTCAAGCAAGCAAAGAGGTTTTTGTTGCCTAAGCAACTAAACTAACAACCTAAAGTGATCAATAACCAAAGATAACTAAAAAAAAAGATAATTTAACAATGATCAAAGAAGTAGAACAAATTAAATAAGCAGAGCAATGACAGAATTCAAAATTTAACAAAGAGAAGACAAGTTTATAGATGTGGTTATTGATTTTGGGGAATTCAGAGACTAACTAAGGTTGTTTTAAGCATCATTGATCACGCAAACAAGCTAGCAATGGTGGTTCCTAGATATAGAGTTCACAAACAAGCAAGCTAAGTCCAATCTCTTGTTAAATAGCCCTTTGCTAAACACATTAACAAGAACTAACTCTCATTAGTGCTAAAACATTAAACAAACATTAATAATCAACTCTATTCATGTCAAAATACTCCTCAAACAGTTAATCTCTTGAGCCAAGGCCAGCAATCCTCTATCAAACAAGATCAGCATTTCATCAAACACTTGATGGGCATAAGAGAAATCCTAAATCCTAGATAAGTGTGATCAAGACAAATCTAGCTTAAGAACATATCAATAGAGAGGAACTCATGTTATTAAGTACTAAACAAACCTTAATCAATCCCTAAATCCCCTTAATCTACCACATCTAAGAACCCTAAGCCAACTACTCACACATAGCCATGTTTAACATCAAATCACAAGAGGAAAAGATGCTTATCGTGATTAAAAGAGAGATTAAGAGAAGATTAATGGCAAATATAAAATTATATTAAATAAAGCAAGAAATTTGTCTTACAAACTCAAAGAAATCACTTAAGAACAGTAATATGACATGACTGCTCGAAAATCTCAGAAAATAAGTATTTATACATAGAGGGGGAAGCCCTAAAAGTAATAGCAAAAGTGTAAATAATAACAGCTTCGGACAGAGATCCTATCGGTCTGAATGTGACTGATAAGGTGATCGATTGGATTCCTATCGGTCTAGAAGGTGACCGATAGGGTGACCGGAATTCTCACGGTATACTTCTATTGGTCACTTCTTTGACCAATAGCCTTGATCGATAGCTCCTCTATCGGCCATTCCTTGACCGATAGCCTTCGTATCTTGACCGATAGGCTCTGCAGAGATCGTCTGCCTTGGTTCCTCTTGCTCCATTTCAGCTCAGCTAGCTTCCTGGTCAACTCCCAAAGCTCCTCCATGCTCCTCATAGCTCCATAAGTACCTAAAAACATCCATGATGCAAAGAAAATGCAAACTATATCCTAAATGCAACCTAAGTCTAAAAGGGACATTGCAAAACTTTGTTAAGGATGCCAATAAATCAACAGATGAAGAGTCTCCTACTCTTGTCTCAACATGAATCCCTTTCAGAGGGTCACTCTGCACTTCGAAAATGCTAAATGAAGAAGCTCTGTCTGGTGCAGACAGATTTTTCATCTTTAAGAGGCTGAAATATCTAAACGCTCGTCAACTTTGTGTACAACAGAGTTAGTAACCAAATTCCCAAAAAATACTTGATCTTAAAGATTCTACAAACTCTAATGATTCAAACAGAACCTCCCCCCCCCTCCCCGGCAATGACGCCAAATTGATGTAGGTGTTTTGCCTATCTCAATCCTCAACCTACACTAGTCATTGTAGTATTGAGTTTTATCAATCCATGGAGAGTTGTTGAATACAAAAGAGTTGCAAGCAGAAGTCCTTAAGTCAAGCAAGCAAAGAGGTTTTTGTTGCCTAAGCAACTAAACTAACAACCTAAAGTGATCAATAACCAAAGAGAACTAAAGAAAGACAGTTTAAAAATGATCAAAGAAGTAGAACAGAGTAAATAGGCAGAGCAATGACAGAATTTGAAATTTAACAAAGAGAAGACAAGTTCATAGATGTGGTTATTGATTTTGGGGAATTCAGAGACTAACTAAGGTTGTTTCAAGCATCATTGATCAAGCAAACAAGCTAGCAATGGTGGTTCCTAGACATAGAGTTCACAAACAAGCAAGCTAAGTCCAATCTCTTGATAAATAGCCCTTTGCTAAACACTTTAACAAGAACTAACTCTCATTAGTGCTAAAACATTCAACAAACATTAATAATCAACTCTATTCATGTCAAAATACTCCTCAAACAGTCAATCTCTTGAGCCAAGGCCATCAAATCCTCTATCAAACAAGATCAGCATTTCATCAAACACTTGGTGGACATAAGAGAAAGCCTAAATCCTAGATAAGTGTGATCAAGACAAATCTAGCTTAAGAACAGATCAATAGAGAGGAACCCATGTTATTAAATACTAAACAAACCTTAATCAATCCCTAAATCCCTTTAATCTAGCACATCTAAAAACCCTAAGCAAACTACTCACTTATAGCCATGTTTAACACCAAATTACAAGAGGAAAAGATGCTAATCATAATTAAAAGAGAGATTAAGAAAAGATTAATGACAAATACAAAATTATATTAAATAAAGCAAGAAGTTCGTCTTACAAATTTACAGAAATCACTTAAAAACAGTAATATGACATGACTGCTCAAAAATCCCAGAAAATTAGTATTTATACATAGAGAAGGGAGCCCTAAAAATAATGGCAAAAGTGTAAATAAAAACAGCTTCGGACTGGGATCCTATCGATCTGAATGTGACCGATAGGGTGATCGATATGATTCCTATCTGTATAGAAGGTGACCGATAGGATGACCGGAATTCTCATGATATACTTTTATCGGTCACTTCTTTGACCGATAGCCTTGATCGATAGCTCCTCTATCGGTCACTCCTTGACCGATAGCCTTCGTGTCTTGATCGATAGGCTCTGCAGAGATCGTCTGCCTTGGTTCCTCTTGCTCCATTTCAGCTCAGCTAGCTTCCTGGTCAACTCCCAAAACTCCTCCATGCTCCTCATAGCTCCATAAGTACCTAAAAACATCCATGATGCAAAAAAAATACAAACTATATCCTAAATACAACCTAAGTCTAAAAAGGACATTGCGCAACTTTGTTAAGGATGCCAATAAATCAACAGATGAAGAGTCTCCTGATCTTGTCTCAACATGAATCCTTTTCAGATGGTTACTCTGCGCTTCGAAAATGCTCAATGAAGAAGCTTTGTCTGGTGCAGACAGATTTTTCATCTTTAAAAGGCTGAAATATCTAAACGCTCGTCAAGGGAAACAAAAAAATAGAATCACCACTGAATCGAGATAGCAAGAACCTAATAAAAGCCAAATATATATATGATCCCTAAATGTAGACAACTTTCCAGTCTGAAAAGGATACATGAGCATGTTTCCCAGGGGTGCTGAAGACAACCTCATCCCCACCTCGTAGATGAACGCAAGTACCCTTTGGGTAAATCTTGCCATTGACCTGAACAAGAACTCCACTTCCTATTATCTCCAGCGATGCAGCTGATGGACCTCCGTGCTGCAAAAAGAAAAGCATTGTAACTATTAAAAAAAGGGGGCTCTTTTGTGTCTTAGGCTAGTACAAGACCAATCAGATACATGTCAATACCTCAGACTGCCTCATTTCACATAGAACACTGGGCATAGATTGGTCTTTGATACATAAATCACATCCTCGCCGTCCAACGGTAAACACAGAGGCTCTCATGACACGATGAGGGTTCTAGAATTGCAAATAATTTTCCCACGACAGTCAGCTCAAATTTGTACATACATTAACTCGACCTCTTTTCGAAAGCCATCATCTTTACTAAATGCCCCAATCGCAGACAGAGCCTAACGGGGAAACATGCAAACAACATATAAAAAAGCAGTCGCACCTGAGGATACTGAGAAAGCAGCTTCGCCCACGGAGCCTTTGCAGTCCGCTTCTTTGCGGATTTCGTCTTCTCAGCTTCCGCCACAACTTCGCCTGCAAACCCAATTCCACACATATGAGAGAGAGAAAAAAGAGAGAATTTTCTTGGTGAAAGGACAACATGCAAGATGCGGACCTGCGGGCGAAGGTGTCACCAAGCCTTGGACTTCTGGATTCATGTCGGTATCAGGACACTTCTCCATCTCCGGCACATCGGTTGTAGTGGCTGGCCTTTCTGCGTCATTAGTCTGCAGATCACAAGTTCTCAGTTCCGGCTCTCCAGATTCCGATCCAGGATCCGAATCCGGGTTTTGTTTTCCAATCGACACCTCACTCGCCGACGATGACCCTGCCGGTTCTGCCGCCGCCGCCTAGAGATTCCCAAAACCAAAAAGCTCGAAATCAACGAGAAGGAAAACACGAAATTCAAAAAAAAATGCTTACTCAAATCCAGGAGACGAGAATGAAGCCTCCAAAAGCGAAATCCACAAATCCAATGGAAATAGTTACGCACGGATGAAACTGAAGCAGAAACGTTGGTCTCGATCTTATAATTATTCACCTGTTTCAAAAGACTATAATACGAAATACTGTATCACAAATACGATCAGAAATAACAAGATTAAAAGATTCCAAACTATATAAAATTTAAATTAGATATTTTGGTACTGGACCGACAGAAAATGAATCATTCCGTTTGAAGTATCTTCACAAACTGCAACGTTTGTTGTAATGTTGTAATGTCAGTGCTGGCTAATATAACTAAGCTTCTACGGCTAGATTATATTAGTTACTCGAAGTTTAAATCAATCTAAACTGATCAGAGCACTCTAGATTTACTGGTTTCTGTTAGTTTTATCGTTTAAGTTGAAACATACATAATGCATCTTGTTAACAAAACAAAATATAAATTGATCTGAACAAATCTTATCAAATTTCGATTTTAAATGAATTGGTGATTTTGTGTGCAACATTGTGTGCAACAGAGTTAGTAACCAAATTTCAAAAAAAATATTTGATCTTAAAGATTCAACAAACTCAAATGATTTAAACAGAACAAACTAAAAAAAAGACAGTTTAACAATGATCAAAGAAGTAGAACAGAGTAAATAAGCAGAGCAATGACAGAATTCGAAATTTAACAAAGAGAAGACAAGTTCGTTGATGTGGTTATTGATTTTGGGGAATTCAGAGACTAACTAAGGTTGTTTCAAGCATCATTGATCAAGCAAACAAGCTAGCAATGGTGGTTCCTACACATAGAGTTCACAAACAAGCAAGCTAAGTCCAATCTCTTGATAAATAGCCCTTTGCTAAACACTTTAACAAGAACTAACTCTCATTAGTGCTAAAATATTCAACAAACATTAATAATCAACTCTATTCATGTCAAAATGCTCCTCAAACAGTCAATCTCTTGAGCCAAGGCCAACAAATCCTCTATCAAACAAGATCAGCATTTCATCAAACACTTGGTGGGCATAAGAGAAAGCCTAAATCCTAGATAAGTGTGATCAAGACAAATCTAGCTTAAGAACAGATCAATAGAGAGGAACCCATGTTATTAAGTACTAAACAAACCTTAATCAATCCCTAAATCCGTTTAATCTACCACATCTAAGAACCTTAAGCAAACTACTCACTAATAGCCATGTTTAACACCAAATCACAAGAGGAAAATATGTTAATCATTAAAAGAGAGATTAAGAGAAGATTAATGGCAAATACAAAATTATATTAAATAAAGCAAGAAATTTGTGTTACAAACTCAAAGAAATCACTTAAGAACAGTAATATGACATGACTGCTCGAAAATCCCAGAAAATAAGTATTTATACATAGAGGGGGAAGCCCAAAAAGTAATGGCAAAATTGTAAATAAAAACAGCTTCGGACTGGGATCCTATCGGTCTGAATGTGACCGATAGGGTGATCGATAGGATTCATATCGGTCTAGAAGGTGACCGATAGGGTGACTGGAATTCTCACGGTATACTTCTGTCGGTCACTTCTTTGACTGATAGCCTTGATCGATAGCTCCTCTATCGGTCACTCCTTGACCGATAGCCTTCGTGTCTTGACCGATAGGCTCTGCAGAGATTGTCTGCCTTGGTTCCTCTTGCTCTATTTCAGCTCAGCTATCTTCCTGGTCAACTCCCAAAGCTCCTCCATGCTCCTCATAGCTCCATAAGTACCTAAAAACATCCATGATGCAAAGAAAATGCAAACTATATCCTAAATGCAACCTAAGTCTAAAAGGAGAAGAAAATGGGACAAAGGATAAGGAAAACATGCGAAAGAGAACCAAAACATGCACTAAATGCAAGCCTAAATGATGTAAATACAAGAGATATTAGCATGCTTTAGAAGTGAAGACAGCTGAAGTGATGAGTTTAGAGGAGAACAAACTGCCTTGATATTCTGACTTTCTGAATTATTTGGTTATTGGCCAGAACCACTGAACCTTAACTCACATCAGAAGAAGAAGTTCCTCTGAGATGTATTTCACTACTATTGGGATGAACCTTATCTCTACATGAGCGGGAATGATGGATTGTTCAGAAGATGCATAACTGAGGAAGAAGTTCAAGGAATTCTACATCATTGCCATGGTTCAGCCTATGGGGGTCACTTTGCAACCTTCAAGACAGCCTCAAAGGTACTTCAATCTGGTTTTTGGTGGCCTAGTTTGTACAAGGACGCCCAGGCTCACATCTCCTCATGTGATGCATGGCAAAGGAAGGGAAGCATCTCCAAGAGAGATGAGATGCTTCTAAACTCTATTCTTGGAGTGGATCTGTTTGATGTGTGGGGGATTGACTTTATGAGACTTTTCCCTTCATCCTATGGGAATAAATACATCCTTGTTGCTGTAGAATATGTCTCAAAGTGGGTTGAAGCCATTGCCAGTTAAACAAATGATGCTAGGGTTGTGTTGAAGGTTTTCAAAACAATAATCTTCCCAAGGTTTGGTGTTCCAAGGTGTGTTATAAGTGATGGAGAGAGCCACTTCATCAACAAGGTTTTTGAGAGTTTGCTGAGGAAGAATGGTGTTAAGCATAAGGTTGCCACTCCTTACCATCCTCAAACAAGTGGTCAAGTAAAGGTGTCTAACAGGGAGATCAAAGCCATCCTAGAGAAGACAGTTTGTGTTACAAGAAAAGATTGGTCTCATAAGCTTGATGATGCTTTGTGGGCATACAGGACAGCCTTCAAGACACCCATTGGTAGAAATCCCTTCTCTCTCCTTTATGGAGAGGCTTGTCATCTGCCTGTTGAGCTGGAATACAAAGCCTTGTGGGCAACAAAGCTATTGAATTTTGACATCAAGACAGCTCAGGAGAAGAGACTCATCAACTTGTATGAGTTAGAAGAAAATCACGTTGAAGCTTTTGAGAGTTCTAAGATCTATAAGGAGAGGACAAAAGATTTTCATGACAAGAAAATAAGACCCAAAGACTTCAAGGCTGGAGATCAGGTGCTGTTGTTTAACTCAAGGCTGAAGTTGTTTCCTGGAAAGCTGAAGTCAAGGTGGTCAGGTCCATTCAAGATCAAGGAGGTGTTGCCATATGGAGTTGTGACTTTGTTTGATAAGGATGGAGGAGACTTCACAGTGAATGGGCACATGCTGAAGTCATACATGGCAAGTGAGTCCCTTGGAGATGATGTAGACATCCATCTTCAAGACCCTTTACAAGAATGATTGACCAAGGAAAGTCAAGCTAAGGACGTTAAACAAGCACACTTGGGAGGTATTCCCATATTATCCATGTACATATTGTTGCCTTTTAAGTTTGTGTTTCTCTTTTGATCCCAGGAGCAAGTGGAGTTTAAGGCAAGTGGTTAGCTGAATTAGTCCATGTTATGGCCAACATCGACAAGGAGCATCGAGCTACTCGTGATCGATGTAACCAACATCGAGCAAGGGTGATCGATGTCAAATGAGCAAGATCACATCGACCAATGTAAAGAAGCCGAGACACAAGTCAAACGCATCAGACAGCAGCTGCTGGATGCCCAAGCATCAATCAACCACATCGATCGATGTGAACATCAGCTCAACATCGAGCTCTCACATCGGATGATGTAAACGACCCAAGAGGAGCCACAACTTACATCGATCACTAGCATCGAACGATGTGGAAGGGAGCAAATAAACAGCCCAACATCGATCACTCACATTGATCATGGCTGATCGATGTGCACCTCCTTTCTGTAAAAACCTCTTCTAAGGTACACAACTCCACTCTTTTCCTTATGAATCCTTTTGTATTCATTTTGAGTATCCCTTATCACCCTCCTTCAAGCTTCTACCACACAGAGGACTGTGTAATCTAAGTGTGGGGGAGGGCATTGCATTTGACATTGTGTTTTGTTTTCTTATTTTCTCTTTTGTATACTTGAGTCTCATGCATTCATGCATTCATCTTTGTGCACTAAAAGTCCATAAAATTTTAAAATTGTTTTGAACCAAAAGATCATTTAGTTGCATTTGTATAACTAAGATTGAGTCTAGATGCATTTCATATAGGTTTGCATACATTTGCATAGGGAGTAGATGATAAACACTTGTCAGGATGTTAATATTTGAGTTTTTTCAGTGCTTTGGTTACCTGTTGTTTGATTGCATTGTAGTGAGTTTGAAGTTAAGGATGCACCATATCTTGAATATTTGCATTGAAATTCTTGTCTTACGTTGAAGCTTGCTTTGATTTGATGCCAAATATATTTATTAGAACCATAATCTTGACATTTAATTATCATGTTTATGTATTGAGAGTGATCACATGGCTACCCATATACATACTTGGGTTATTTTCTTCCTTTCTTACCAGTCTTGTTAACCCAAGTAGCTGATCCTCATTATTATGGGAAAGTTAACTACACCCTAACCCAATCCTTCTTTCTGAAAACACTATTGAGAGAGTTGTGAGGCCTTGCATTGCATTATTTTCGGTTATGTCTTGGCAAAAATAGTTAGGAATAAGGCTGGCAAGAAGAAGCTCTCTTGTAGATACCAGCTTGCATCTTGAGCTTGGTATTAGGTTAGGAGTTTGAGAAAGGGTAGTATAAGTGGTTTGAGTTTTATTATTTTTATCCTTTAAAAGAAGAAGAAGAAGTATGGGGATGGTAGTATAGGGAAGCAAGTTAAGTCCATGGTTAAGTATAAGTAAGAAAAGCTCTATGTGTTAGAGAAAAAGAAGGTGCCAACAACAACAAAGCTTAAATAAGTCATCCCAAAAGGAGAAATCAGACCAAGCAATCTACCAAAGGTGAAGAAAAATAGCGCCTATTATACAACAGAGAAGAGCAAGTTCCAACAAAGAATCATGTCTATCTATCTTTTCTTCTTTGAATTGATGGCTTTGATG